GAGAAACCATTACAACTTAATAGGAAAAAATAATCTGGTTAAAAACAGGCAGAGGAACTGAACAGACATTTTTCCAAAGACATACAGATGGCCAACATGTACATTAAAAAAAGTGCTCAAAATCACTAATCATCAGGGAAATGCAAATCAAAACCACAATGAGACATCACCTCACACCTGTTAGAATGACTGTCATCAAAAAGTAAAAAGATAACAAATGTTGGATAGGATGTGGAGAAAAAAGAACACTTGTGCACTGTTGGTGTGAATGTAAACTGGTGTGAATGTAAACAGCCAATTTGTAACACAGTATGGAGGTGCCTCCACATATTAAAAATAGAACTACCGTATTATCCAGGATTCATACTTCTGGGTATATATCTGAAGGAAATGAAAACTGGATATCAAAGAGATTCCTGTGCTCTCACGTTTACTGCAGCATTATTCACAATATCCAACATGTGGAAACAACCTATCTGTCCATAACATGATGGAAGGAATTTTCACATACTGAGGTATGGAGAAGTCATTCTGGCTTATACATGATATGGCTTAGATTTTATGCTGTCTAGAACAGCCTGTTTTGTGGCCTTAAACATGCATTGTACATCTGCTTTAACCATTAAAGAAGAGAACGCATTTATAAATTAAAATGGAGTAACTGTGGTTCAGGCATTCAAAATGGGGCTGGCTGGGTGGCCATGGTGGACGTGGTTTCAGACACATTCCTGCATTACTGAGAACATGAATTTTCCGAAGTGTATCAGACTCAAGGACACCACCAACCATTCTCTACAAAATATCTGCTGACAGCTGCCACCTGCAACCTTATGGTCTCAAGGTCTCCCTTGTAACTGTGCAACCATTTCAGACCCAAACCAATACCTCCTTAACAAGAATCCCTACTTCTTGTCACCTTCAATTATAGTTCTTGACAAACAACCCACGTATTTTGTGGGTTTTGCCTTTATAAATCTCCCCCATTTTGTAGTCTGGCAGAACTCAATTCAACTGCTTCTTGAATCTGTGTCTCCCAGGCTGTAATTCTCAGTTTGGCTCAAATAAAATCATTTTCTATTCCTATTATTATTTCCACTGACAAACAGATGAATGTTTTTCACTTATATCCATTTGATTCATGAACAATATGGGAGTTAGGGGCATGGACCCCCTGCACAGGCAAAAATCCATGCATAACTTTACAGTCAGTCTTCCATATCCACAATTTCACATCTGATGATTCAACCAACCACAGAACGTGTAGTACTGTACTACATATTTATTTTTTTAAATCCGCATATAAGTGGACCTACACATTTCAAACCCATGCTGTTCAAGGGTCAAATATATACACACACACAATGGAACATTACTCAGCCATGAGAAAGGAGGGAATCCTTGCATTTGCAATGACATGGATGGCTCTTGAGGGCATTATGCTGAGTGAAATGCGTCACATAGAAAAAGACAAATACCAACCATATGATTTAACTTAAATGTGGAATCTAAAAAAGCCAAACTCAAAGAAACAAAGAGTAGAAGGGTGGTTTCCAGGGGCTGGCGAGTGTGGGAAATGGGGAGATATTGGTCAAAAAGTACAAACTTCCAGTTAGATTATGAATAAATTCTGGGGAGCTAATGTGCAGAACTGTGATTTCAATTAACATTACTGTATAATATACCTGCAAGTTGCTAAGGGAGTAGATCTTAAATGTTTCCCAAAGATATGGTAATTATGTAGTCTGATGGAGCTGTTAGACAATGCTATGATGGTAATCATATTGCAATATCTGAGCATGTCAAATCAATAAGTTGTATATCTTATACTAACACAATGTTGTATACCAACTGTATCTCAGTAAAGCTGAGGGGGAAATATTGAGTGTAAATCACATCCTTTCAAGAAAGTCGATTTTTTTTTTTTAACCTGGATATGTAGGTGTAGTTACAGCTACAGTGCAGGGAAAATGTGTGCTCCAGCAGAAAACTATACTATACCTCACCCCGTGCTTTATCTGACTGTGATTTTATTGGAGATGTCTGTAATAATTTGTAAATTATCAATACCTAATAGCAGTACAAAATAATTCTTGCCTATAGACATACAAGCTCTGTTCTGTCCAGTAGAGGTTCAATTGACTTTCCCAGCTAGTTCTGTCTTCATTTGCACATTCATGTCAACATTCCTCTACTCTAAGTAAGTCTGTACTTTTTTACCCTTCTCCCTTGAACAGATAGTAACACCTTATTACAACAGGTTGTAACGGATTTCCTCATTAATGAATTAAATAATATCTTTATCTTGTGTTCACTTAAAAAAAGAAGAAATAAAAATGATCAACAGGTACATGAAAAGATGGTCAACATCACTAATCATCATGTTTTGTACTGGTCTCAGCCTCAGGACAAGCCTCACCCACCAGCAGGTAGGTAAGAACCCCAGGAGAATGACAGCCCCACAGCAGGCAGACCCAGTCCACATAGCAGTAGGCTAGCCCTGGGACCAGCTGGGCCCCTGCCTTGTCAACCAGTAAGCCTGCCCTAGCCTTGGGACCAGCCTCACGTACCATGAGTGGACACCAGTCACAGGACCACCACAGGCCCACAATCTGCAAATCCAGCCCAACCATTAGCAGGCCAGCACCAACCGAGACCTACTGGACCTCAGACCTGCCCACCAGTTAGCCTACGCTAGGTCCAGCACCAGCCTCGCCCAGCAGAGGGCAGACGCCCAGCCCCAGAACAATGATAGTCCTGCAGACTGCACACCCAACCCACCCATCAAAAGGCCAGCATGTGCCCCGGGACTCGCTGGGCCCCAGCCCTGACAAACAGCAGGCCAACACAAGCTTCTGGACACCCCAGAACCCACAGCCTGCTCTGTCAGGAACCAGCCCCACCTATCAGTGGTCCCATACCAGCTGTGGGAATAACCTGACTAGGGCCAACCAAGCCTACCAGGTTGCCTACAGTACTCAGCCCACCACAACAGAAGGACCAACACAGCCCACATAGGGGGAAATCCTGAGGAATACAGCTCCAATGATGAGAGGGGAGTGTGCTGCTGGGACACACTGGACATCTCCCACAAAAGGCCATTTCTCCAAGGTCAGGAACTATAACCAACCTAGCAGATACAAAGAAATAAAAACAGCAAGTTAGAAAAAATGAGGTGACAGAAGAACATGTTCCAAATGATGGAAAAAGATAAAACCACAGAAGAACTAAGTGCAGTAGAGATATGTAATCTACTCAAGAAAGAGTTCAGGGTAATGATTGTTAAGATGATCAAAGAACTTGGGAGAAGAATGGATACACAGAGCAAGAAGTTAGTAGTTTTTAACAAAGAGTTGGAAAATATAAAGAACAACCAAACAGAGATGAAGAATATAATAAATGACATGAAAAATACACTAGAAAGAATCAAGAATAGACTAAATGAAAGAGAGGAATGGATCAGTGAGGTAGAAGACAAAGTAGCAGAAATCACTGACAATGAACAGAAAAAAGAATGAAAAGAAATGAAGACAGTTTAAGAGATCTCTGACACCAACAATCATACTAACACTCACATTATAGCAGTTCCAGAAGAAGAGAGAGATAAAGGGGAAGAGAACATATTTGAAGACATGATAGCTGAAAACTTCCCTAACCTGGGATCAGTAACAGACATCCAAGTCCAGGAAGCACAGAGTCCTGAACAGGTCAACCCAAAGAGGAAAAAACCGAGATACATTGTAATTAAAATGTCAAAAATTAAACATAAAGAGAGAAGATTAAAAGCAGCAAGGGAAAAGTAACAAGTTACACACAAGGGAACTCCCATAACACTATTAGTTGACTTTTCAACAGAAACTTCAGGCAAGAAGAAAGCGGCATGATAAATTTAAAGTTAAAAAGAAAAAAAGTGATGAAGAGAAAAAACTGACGGGCTTCCCTGGTGGCGCAGTGGTTGAGAGTCCACCTGCCAATGCAGGGGACGCGGGTTTGTGCCCCAGTCTGGGAAGATCTCACATGCCGCAGAGCGGCTGGGCTCGTGAGCCATGGCCGCTGAGCCTGCGCGTCCAGAGCCTGTGCTCTGCAACGGGAGAGGCCACAACAGTGAGAGGCCCGCATACCGCAAAAAAAAAAAAAAAAAAAAAAGAAAAGAAAAAAGAAAAAACTGACAACCAAGAATACTCTACCCAGCAAGGCTCTCATTCAGATTTGATAAAGACATCAGAAATTTTACAGACAAGCAAAAGCTAAAGGACTTCAGCACCACCAAACCAGTTTACAAGAAATGTTAAAGAGACTTCTCTAAGGGAAAAGGAAAGGCCACAGCTAGAAACAGGAAAATTACAATGGAAAAAGCTCAGTGGTAAAGGTAAATATACAGTAAAGGTATTTTTAAAATAGTGCTGCATTTACAGAGAAATCATAATTGAGAAGAAATGCAATAAGATACACCTAAATGATTAAAACCCTTAGATGTCATTACTATTTGCCAGAATTGTAGGCCTGGGCCCTGGAAGTAACTCTCAGACGTCTCTGTGAGGTTGAAAATATAAATATAGTCCAATTAAGTGAACACACGTGTCACTTGTTTCATGCTGCACAAGGGTCATTCCCACCCTGTTCAATTAACAAGTATTTCCTGGTGAAATGCTCCGGAATAGATAACCCACATTAATGCTACAGGAAAAACATTGTTCTCGAACTCTTTCAGGAAATGACTTTAAACTATTCTTTGTGATTTCTGAATTGAACACAAAATTCAGGATAGAGTATGATTAAAACACATTTATACCCACACTGTGTGCCCCATCATTGGTGTACACACACAACAAGCATAGATACACAAAAGTTCCCTTGGCTGTCTGTGTTCCACATCCTCCCTCCTCCATCTGAGGGGTGACAACCATGACCCCTATGAAAGATGTGGCCACCCCTGTAATGTTTCCAAGGACGTCACTGGAGAAGAGAGCCAACTGTTAAGGTCAGAGTGACAGAGCATAGCATCACCCACTGTTGGTTCTTCTCAACTCCTCCACAAGGCAGTGGGCTTCCTCTTGAACTCGGTCCTCAATGCTCCTCTTCCCCATCCCGAAATTCTGCAGGGTCATGAGGGAGAAGCGCCGGGTCTCCTCCCATATTTTCCCATTGTTGAACATGATTCCTACCGGGAGGGGAAACAGAAACTAGGGGGGAGGTGCTAGGGAAGGAGGAGTGAGCTGACACTTGGCAGCCTTTCAGGTGAACCAAGCTCTGCTGGGGGCTCTTCATATTCCTGTTTGTATCCTCTCCACCCCCACCCATTATCAATGCTGAACATGTGCACATGCACACCTACCATGTCCCTTAGTAGCTCTTTCAAGCGCTGGGACACTGCCTCTTCTAGAAAACTCCTCTCCCAGATCAATCAGAGCTTCCTTCACTGCTTCTTATCCATGCAAGACTACCGTTGGCTTCATTCCAAAATACACAGTGAACACAGGGCCACAGACTTTTGAGAGGTGGGAATGGCCATACATGTAATAGCAAAAGTCAATATATTGTGCCTGACGTGGAATATATTATCATCCTACTATTATGTTTTTATTCTGCCACATGTAGCCTAAAATATTTCTGCATTTATTACATAAATATTATGGTGATTGTTTTATAGCTACCACTGATGTGTCAGGCAATGGCCTGAGTAGTTGGTACACAGATTACAATTAACCCTCATATCAGCACCTTCAGCAGGTTTATTTGCCTCACTTATAAATAAGGAACCTGAGGTTAAGGAATTCTGTTCCATTTCCAGCATCCCAGGGCTACTATATAGAGGATTCAAATTTGAAGCTCTTCGTATTCACCCTCTGATCCTTGAGAAATGTACCGATCCTCAATGCCCACCTCTGGACCAACAGCCGGCTGACTGCTTCAGAATCACCTGTAGAGCAGTCATTAGAATTCTGATTCTGTAGCCCTATGATGAATACTAGAATCTATATTATAAAAAATAAATTCAAATAATTTCAATGCCCAGCCTAGTTTGAGATCTGCTGGTATTACTAACACAGAAAGAAAGCAGGCATCATACAGGCAGTGCCAGGACGTGCAGCATCTCGTGGAAGAAGAGTATCTTCCATCCTGCAGCATTCATAGGCTACAGACAGCAGCTCCCTGCAGAATCCAAATGAACACCATTACCATCAGTTGGACCCTGACTGATGACTACTTTCTTTCATCCACTCATGCTGGTCCTGATCCCAAGCTACTTCCTTAACATCAGGCACAATGCCCTTCTTCAGAAAAGTTCTCTTTTCATGGCCATCTGAACAAAACACACAGCTCATATAGTATATGACTTCTGGAAGAAAATTTCGAATCACAAAACACTTCACCTACCACTTACCTTCAGTGCCAAATCATAGCAAATGGCTGCGAAACAAAGAAGGGAGGAAACACTACAAGCTTTTGACACTTTATTATTTTGATTCTACCATACAAACACCTAAATGTTTCTCTACTCACAAAACACATTACTTTGCTCATCTATTTATGACAATGACAGGCCTGAAGAGGCAAGAAAAAGGTCAAAATTTATAGGAAGTAATTTACCTCACGCTGACCTGTTTTGACAGTGTGCCCATGACAATATGTATTAGTTTCATCATTGGGATTAATTTACTTACCGTTTGCAAGACAGTGAAGAAGCATAAAACCTACTTACGTTGGTTAAGGATTTGCTGATGTCCTTAACATCTAATATCTAAGGATATTTCCAGGAATTGGGAGAGGAGTGGGGGCCAGGAGGGAGCTGCCCTTTCCCAGAGCACTGTTTCCAGAGTGACAGGAGAAGCAGACAGGAGCGACAGAGCACAGCTGGATCCACAGAAACCTTCTCTTCTTACTCAGACAGCTGGGAGCCTGAAATCTAAAGCTTTTATAACAGTCCCTGCTAATTCAGCTTGTGCCTCTCTGATAGAAACAGACCAATCAAGTACAGCCACTTTGCACTCCCATTCTGAGTAGACCTTGCCCCACTGATAAAAATAAACTTTTAGTCTTGTTTTCTCTGTGTCCAAGGACACTCTGGAGATTCTGGTTTAACTGTACTGGGATTGGGTCGAGGTATTGATAATTTTTTTAAAAAGGGGAGAGGGGAGTCCCACTGCGCAGCCAGGATTGAGAACCATTGAAATAAATAATTTGAGGCCGAAAAAAGGCTTATAACTCTGGATTCAAACAATGACCAGTTGGGGATTTATGACTCTGAGGCCAATCGGTGTATTCTATGCCTTTTTTTATTTTGTTTTTTTTAAGAAACAAAACAAAATAAAATGACACAGGATGGGAGAGACCACTACAATACTGATAAATGAACAAAAAATTTATATCCTGAATGTAGAAAAAATTCCTATGAATCCATTAAAAAAAGAAAACATAAATATAGGAATAAAAAACCCTGAACATCTTCATGACGCAGGAAATCCAAATGGTCAACAAACCAAATGATCAACAAAAAATCAAAATGTACTTATTACTTTTTTTCTTTGAATTTTATTTTATACAGCAGGTTCTTATTACTTATCCATTTTATACATATTAGTGTATATATGTCAATCCCAATCTCCCAATTCATCACACCACCACCCCATCCCTCCCCCACTTCCCCCCTTAGTGTCCATACGTTTGTTCTCTACATCTGTGTCTCAATTTCTGTCCTGCAAACTGGTTCATCTGTACCATTTTTCTAGGTTCCACATATATGCGTTAATATACGATATTTGTTTTTCTCTGACTTACTTCACTCTGTATGAGTCTCTAGATTCATCCACGTCTCTACAAATGACCCAATTTCGTTCCGTTTTATGGCTGAGTAATATTCCATTGTATATATGTGCCACATCTTCTTTATCCATTCATCTGTTGATGGACACTTAGGTTGCTTCCATGTCCTGGCTATTGTAAACAGTGCTGCAATGAACATTGGGGTGCATGTGTCTTTTTGAATTATGGTTTTCTCTGGGTATATGCCCAGTAGTGGGATTGCTGGGTCATACGGTAATACTATATTTAGTTTTTTAAGGAACCTCCATACAGTTCTCAATAGTGATTCTATCAATTTACATTCCCACCAACAGTGCAAGAGGGTTCCTTTTTCTCCACACCCTCTCCAGCATTTGTTATTTGTAGATTTTCTGATAATGCCCATTCTAACTGGTGTGAGGTGATACCTCATTGTATTTTTGATTTGCATTTCTCTAATAATTAGTGATGTTGAGCAGCTTTTCATGTGCTTCTTGGCCATCTGTATGTCTTTTTTTTTTTTTTTTTTTTTTTTGCAGTACGCGGGCCTCTCACTGTTGTGGAGCACAGGCTCAGCGGCCATGGCTCACGGGCCTAGCCGCTCAGTGGCATGTGGGATCTTCGCACGAACCCGTGTCCCCTGCCTCGGCAGGCGGACTCTCAACCACTGAGCCACCAGGGAAGCCCTGTATGTCTTCTTTGGAGAAATGTCTATAGGTCTTCTGCCCATTTTTTTACTGGATTTTTTTTTTTTAATATTGAGCTGCATGAGCTGTTTATATATTTTGGAGATTAATCCTTTGTCCGTTGATTTGTTTGCAAATATTTTCTCCCATTCTGCAGGTTGCCTTTTCGTCTTGTTTGTAGTTTGCTTTGCAAAAGCTTTTAAGTTTCATTAGGTCTCATTTATTTATTTATTTATTTTATTTCCATTACTCCACAAGGTGGATCAAAAAAGATCTTGCTGTGATTTATGTCAAAGAGTGTTCTTCCTATGTTTTCTTCTAAGAGTTTTATAGTGTCCGGTCTTACATTTAGGTCTCTAATCCATTTTGAGTTTATTTTTGTGTATGGTGTTAGGAAGTGTTCTAATTTCATTCTTTTACATGCAGCTGTCCAGTTTTCCCAGCACCACTTACTGAAGAGACTGTCTTTTCTCCATTGTATATTCTTGCCTCCTTTGTCATAGATTAGTTGACCATAGGTGCGTGAGTTTATCTCTGGGCTTTCTATCCTGTTCCACTGATCTATATTTGTTTTTGTGCCAGTACCATATTGTCTTGATTACTATAGCTTTGTAGTATAGTCTGAAGTCAGGGAGTCTGATTCCTCCAGTTCCGTTTTACCCCCAAGACTACTTTGGCTATTTGGGGTCTTATGTGTTTCCATACAAATTTTAAGATTTTTTAATGTTTATCTTTTAATGTTATATCTAACACTAGGACGCTTTGTCCTTAAAAATGAAAGGTTTTTAAATATTTTAATGTACTGTATTAATATTACATTTGCCTATACATAATATAGTTAATGATGACATATTTAAGATCCTTTAAAAATCAGAATGGAATAACTATGGTTCAGACACCTAAAATGAAGCCACATACTCATTGTGGATGTGTTTAGACATGTTCCTGCATCACTGAGAACTTGAATTCCCAACTGTGTCAAACTCAAGGACTCCACCAGCCATTTTCAAAACAATATATGCTAACAGGTGCTTGCTACAATTTTGTATTTTCAAAGTTCCCCTCCCCCTTCACAACTATGTAACCATTTCGAACCCCAACCAATTCTTGCTCACAAGCATCCTTACATATTGTCATCTACAATTCTAATTCTTGACGAAAAGTTATGTGCCCTTGTGGTTTTCTGCCTTTATAAATTTCCCCATTTTAGTCTGGAAGAACACAATTTAAGTGCTTCTTGGATCTGTGTCTCCCGGGCTATAGTCCTAACAAACCCCCAATAAACACCGCTTGATTTCAACCAGATCTACATTCTTGGAATTCATGGTTAACACTAACTTAATTCAAACATCTTGAATGACCAAAGATAAAGTAATTACATAAGTAAATGTACATGACTCTTTCCTTGAAACTCCACATCTACCCCACCAAAATAAACATTGGAAGGTAGAGACTGTAATTTTGTATTTTTCAAATGAGTGAAAGGAAGATTCTGGGTAAACAGAAATGTCCAGTGTCACATAGCTCATAATTAATAAAACCAGGACTTAAACTGAGATTTTCTGATGCCCACTGTGATGCACTCTCATATATACCACACCTGCCTCAAGAACGATTTTAGAAAAACAAAACCAAACCCCAAAAATGTTACTCTGAATACACACCCAAATGATTGTTCACAAAACAACATGTTTCACAATAAATAGATGTCCCTGAACTCCAAGGAAAAAGGGTCACAGATTCTCAGCCCCAGAGTGGGCATCATTAAGTTCCAACCAATTCCAGAAAGGTGTCTTGTTCCCTAAGTACCTAAGGAAATTAATTTTTAATACCTGCTGAGAAAGCCATGAAGTAGTCACTCTTCTTAAAGTTGCCACTCTCATCCAGGAAGTGGACTGGGTCAAACACCTCTGGGTTGGGGAATTCTTTGTCATCATGTAGCACAGAACTCAGCAATGTTACTATAGTCGTGCCCTGGAATGAAAGATGAAGACAAATGAATTATAAAGAGGTCGTGGAGCGGTAGAAATGTTACAAGTCATTTAGTCCCATTTTTTGATCTAGACATGAGGAGTCCCAGGTCCAAAGAAGGGCAGCGGCAATTCCAGACAGACAGACCAAGTAATAAACAGGGATGAGTTTAAGACCAGTGGCAGTGATGTTACTAAAGTGGCCTTCAATAGCATTTGAAGTACTGTGTACTTGGTTACTTGGGTGCTAGATCTCTGAATCCCCTTTACTTATCACAACGTTTGGACACTGCTGTCTGTATCCCACCCTTGACTCTATTTCATCATTTCAGCTTTCTTACATCTCATTTGTGGATCATAGTTTAAAATGGAAGCCTCTGAGGGCTCTTGAAAAGTCAGATGTATTTGGAATCTGTTTATAGGGCTTTTTAAAATAGAGGTCTGATCTGATCAAAAATGGCATCTGGCAAATCCATACAGAGACAGATTAGTGGCTGTCGGGGGCTGTAAGGAGTGAGGAATGGGCAATGACTGCTTAACGGGTGGTGGATTTCCTTTTGCAGTGATGAAAATGTTCTGGAACTAGATAGTAGCTATGGTTGCACAACACTGTGAATGTACTAAATTTCACTGAATTGTACACTTTAAAATAGCTAAAATGGTCATTTTTATGTTATACTTATTTTACCACAGTAAGAAAGAAAATTTTCCCAAGAGGAAAAGTGACTTCTTAGATAATATCAACAAGTACACTAACAACTACTGAGCATTTATCTTTGGGATGAAATTTGTTTCTCTTAATTTTAAAATGTGGGGGAACACTTCGTTATGGATGAATTCTAGATTAAAAAAAACAGATGATAAAATTAGAAAAATTCTCATTTTTCAACAATTCAAGTAAAGATCATCAATTAATGCTAAAACTGTTGGATGAATGATTTGGGAAACAGTATATTCACAAGGTCTTAAAGTACCATGCCATAGATTTTTAATTAATTACCTATGAAAACAGAACCTCAGCAATGGAGAGATATGGCAGATTTCTCCTTAATAAGTGATCACCTTAGCATCACCCATAATGGGATAAGCTGACATTACACGTCTTCAGCCGAAATGTGATGCAGTGGGACATACACAACATCACCTAAGTAATTTTCTTGTCAAATACACACAACTGGAATCTAATCTCAAGAAAACAATCACATAAAGCCAGACTGAGGAACGTTTAACATGACAATTGTCCTGGACTCTTCGAAATTGTCAGTGTATTAAAATGAAATAAACATAGGAAAAGGAACTGTTCTTGATAACAGGGGAGTAAAGGGGCAGATAATCAAATTAAATACTTGTTCCTTGATTGGACACTAGATGCCCCCTCAAAAAAAGCTACACAAGATATTTTAGGATAATTGAGAAAATGTAATTATAGTATATATATATATCAGAAAAAAATATTATATAGATGATAATTCCTTTAGTGTGAATGCTTTTATTGTTATGTAGATAAAGTCCTTGTTCATTTGTTCTTAGAAGATACATACTGAAGTATTTAGGTGTTAAGTGTGATAGACAGATGACAGACAGACAGGTAGTTACAATATAGATATATACACAATTTCATATGTATTTCATATATTATATATATATATATATCCATTGTACATTTAAATACTATTTAAATTTTAAAACCTTTTAAATTCAAAATTGGGGGTAATTGCAGGTATATTTTCAGCAAATGGTGCTGGGACAAGTAGATAACCATAAAGAAAAGAAATGAAATATGACCATTACTTCACTCCATAAGTAAAAATGAACTTTAAATGGATCATAGAGCTAAATATAAACGCTAAAAGTATAAAACTTGAAAAAGAAAAGCATAAATATTTGATAGCATGTGCTGGAAAATAAATATGACACAAAAGCCCAACTCATAAGAGAAATAATCGATAAACTGGACTTCATAAAAATTTTAAACTATGTTTTTTTTTTAAACTTCTGCTCATTGAAGGACATTCTTAGAAACCAAAAAAAGAAAGAAAATGACACAAACCGGGAGTAAACATGTGCAACACTGAGACATGACAAACGGATTGCATACTAAAGAACTGCGATAATTAAATAAAGCAAACTCAATAAAAAATAGGACTTTGAGCAAACACTATCAGTGAACACATACGAATGGCCAATCAACACATGAAAAGAAGCCAAATATCATTATTCACCGAGAAAATAGAAGTAAAACAAAATGAGATATCACTACACAACCCCTTCAGTGTCTAAAATTTAGAGGGTGTGGCGGCAAGTGTTGGGGCGTGGAAGTCGGTGGGCACGCAGACGGCGCACCCTGGTTCCATTCAGGGCCAGCGGCCACGTGCTTGCCCGGGTTCCGGCCTCTTAGCCAGCACAATGCAAACCGTAAACAACACAACAGTGCGGGGAGGAGCCTCTGCCTCTCGAGCTTTCTTTGCCTAGTCTCCAGCCTCAAGACGCTTCAGGCGAAGGGCCGTCTTTCCGCCCCCAGTTCCCGCGCTGCGCGGGACCCGCAACTCTGCCACCGGCTCCGGAGCTGAGAGCGCTGCCAGGCTGTCGCGCCAGGATGGGGGATGAGCAAGTCGGGCGCTATACCTGGTCCAGGCAGCACCGCCCCACCTGCCCTGCGCCCTCGGAGGGGAGGCACGTGTCACAGGTTGGACCACGTCGCACGGCGCCTCGCTGCCGCCAACCCCTAGGCACTCCCTGTGCTGCAAAAAAGCGTGTTCGGGGAGGCCACCGCTTCAGCAGTGAGGCCTGCCTCCACCCGCCGTCTGACCCTGTCTGCGCGGGATCTGGAGCTGGACTCCAGCCGGGCTGAGCCTCAGCCCGCTCAGGAACTATGGGTACCACCAGCGAGCGGAAAGGGGTGCGGCTTCACGGGGCGGCGCCAAGGCCCCGACCTTTAACCCCTGATCCCCGCCCCACCTTCCACGTGGGGCGAGCCAGACATCTGACACGCGCCTGCAAGCCCTTACACGGAAAAGCGAGAAAACCTCCAGCGTTAGCACAACAGACAATCAGTTCCACCAAAGTTAACAACGATGCTTTAAATGTTTTATTTTTTTCGCTTTAAAAATATTTACAGATCTGAAATATCTCCCCTTTCGCCCCTACCCATACTCAGGACAAGAGAAACGGAAAGAGGCGTTGAGATGATTGTTCAAAGCCCCCAAGGGCCGGCTTGGCCGGCCATGTGTGCGGGTACATAAATACAGGTGTGTATGTGGGGAGAGGCGTGTACTTGGTTTGGTGTTTTTCTGATTTTTTTTTTTCCCTACCAGTCAATATCGTTCTGGCCAAAACTCCCTTTCCCACCACCACCCAAGAACAGCCCCTCCAGAATGGTTTTCAAAACGTATTGGATTGTTTTGGTAGAACGAGGTGATCTGGCTGGAGGAATGCCGATAAATACCAGAAACAAAACAAAAAATAGGGCAGAGGCCATAAATAAGAAATAATAAATTAAAAATAAAATGAAATAAAATTTAAGAACACTAACAACGGCAAGTGTTGGAGGGTACCTACCTCCAGCAATTGGAACTTTCATATATTGCTAGTAGGAGGGAAAAATGTCACAGCCGTATTAGAAAACAGTTTGGTGCGTTTTTAAAATAAAGTTAAACTTTAAATAAAGTTAAACATTTAACTTATTTAAACTTTAAATAAAGTTAAACATTTAACTTTAAACTCCCACTCCTCGGTATTTACCCAAAAGAAATGAAAATTTATGTCCACACAAAACCCTGTATCAAATGTTTAAAGCACCTTTATTCAAATAGCCCAAAACTAGAAGCAACCCAAATATCCATCAATTAGTGAATGAATAAACAATTTGTGGCACTCCACATGATATCCACTCATCGATAAAGAAGGAATAATCCATTGATATATACAATAACAAGGATGAATCTCAAACATATTCTGCCACATAAAAAAGAGATAAAGGCATATATTGATTACAAGTTATTTCATTTATGTCACATTATACTGCACTCCTGAAAAGGCAAAACTGTAGGACCAAAAGCAGATCAGCGGTTACCAAGGGCAAGAAATGGGGGAAATGGATTGTTTGCAAAAGGAGAATAAGGAAACTCTTTGAGATGATGAAAATGTTTGATATCTTAGTTGTGGTGGTAGTTACATAACTTCACATACTGATCAAAACTCTTTAGACTCTACACTTAGAAAGGTGATTTTTCTTCTATATAACTTATACCTCAAGTAAAAAACAGAGGAATACATTAAGTCACAAAAAGCACATATGGTAAAAAGTAAGTCTCCTTCCCATCTAACTACACAAATTTATTTAGACTTTCCAAAAACAACCATTCCCACCAACTAGTTATATACCTTCCAGAGATATTATGCATATCAGGCAGATAATCCTATATACATTTATGCCACTTACCACTTTCTTCTTTTTTTACCCAATGACAAGCATCCAGTGGATCTTGATTTTTTTCTTTAATTAAAATAATTTAGGGACTTCCCTGGTGGCGCAGTGGTTAAGAATCCGCCTGCTAATGCAGGCGACATGGGTTCGAGTCCTGGTCCGGGAAGATCCCACATGTCGTGGAGCAACTAAGCCCGTGTGCTACAACTACTGAGCCTGCGCTCTACAGCCCGCGAGCCACAACTACTGAGCCCACGCGTTGCAACTACTGAAGCCCACGTGCCTAGAGCCTGTGCTCCACAACAAGAGAAGCCACTGCAGTGAGAAGCCCACACATCGTCACCAGAGAAAGACTGCGTGCAGCAACGAAGACCAAATGTAGCCAAAAATAATTAATTTTAAAAAATACTAATTTAGATATTGTCCCATGTCAACACATGTACAACTGCCTTATCATGCTACATAATATACATGTGCCATGACACTACTAATGAACATTTAGATAGCTCAAAATATTTTTTTATTACAAGCAATGATGCAAGGATGAATTTTTTGGACATTCCTTCATTAGCACTTGTAGTAGATTCCAAGAATTATAATTCTTGCATTATAAGATACTATACTTTATTTTTTAATAGATATTGCCAAAATGTCCCCCCCAAAAAAGATGTACTTATTTATAATCCTGCCAGTGGCACTTGAAAGTACTTGTTTACACATATCCTCTCTAATAAAAGGTTTTCTCAGCCTTTGACTTCATCACACTGATATATGAAAATAGTGTCTCATAGTTTTAGCTTGTATTTTGCATGTTACCTGGTTTAATTCTTGTAACATTTTGAGGTAAGCAAGGTTAGTTTTATCAACAGTTCACAAATGTCTTCAGCAGGACATGAATATTCACATAAAGTGGCATAAATAAGGAATATATATAGATTCACTTCAGTTCAAGTAAGGTTTTGACCACCAAATGAAATTGCATCAAACTTATATATTTGTTTTCAATTTTCCAGGTTTTTAGTACTGCAGAATTAAGGAGGAGGGATTTCTAAACCCACGTTACAGGAAAAAAAAAAACTTAGATCAGCTCTAACACAGTAGCTTTCAGTGATCCATAGCTAGGTATATTTAAAGTAAAGCTAATCAAAAGTAAATAAAATTTAAAATTCAGTTCCTCAGTTGCACTCATCACATTTCAGGCACCCACTAGGCACATGTGGCTAGTGGCTACCATATGGGACAACGCAGATATGCACAATTCCCTCTTCCCCAGAAGATAGCAATAGTAATTTCAACCTTAATAAACTCACAATCCTTCTCCCCTCAAAGTAGACATTTCAGTCATCTTATTTTTATGTACAATAACACATGCAGGCTTCAAATGGCAGCAGCTTGTAGGATACCAACTATAAAGTCTGAATAAAAATAGACACCATGTGTTAGAAAGCACTGGAAAGCTGCAGACAAAAATTAGTCTCCAGGGCTTCCCTGGTGGCGCAGTGGTTGAGAGTCCGCCTGCTAATGCAGAGGACATGGGTTCGAGCCCTGGCCTGGGAAGATCCCACATGCCGCGGAGCAACTGGGCCCGTGAGCCACAACTACTGAGCCTGCGCGTCTGGAGCCTGTGCTCCGCAACAAGAGAGGCTGCGATAGTGAGAGCCCGCGCACCACGATGAAGAGTGGCCCCCGCTTGCCGCAACTGGAGAAAGCCCTCGCACAGAAACAAAGACCTAACACAGCCAAAAATAAATAAAGAAAGAAAGAATTATTTTTTTAAAAAAATTAATCTCCAGATTCCAGAGATAGAAGAAACTTGGAAAGGTTAACTGGCATCTACAGTCAATATCTGACTGTGTTAATATCCAATTCTGAAACAGGAGGTGTTATGTAATTCTGTCCGCCTAGTGAAGGAAAGATGAAAACTTTCTGGAAGAAGATAAACATCACCTGAGACTGCATTTCTTATGCAATATCTGAGCTTAAGCAAAATGTATCAGGTTCAGGGAAGATAGAACTAAGCAAACACCAGAAGAAAAGAAAAGGGGGCAATTATATATATATAATAAAAATATACCCACAATATGGAAAGTTACCCACCTTATTTTATGAGGCCAGCATTACCTTGATATCAGAAGTCTTATTAAAAATTCTTTGAGAAAGAGTAATTGCAGACCAGTCTCTTGTGAATATAAATACAAATGTTCTCAATAAAATGTAGCAAACCAAATTGAGCTTTTTATATATGAGAGACAGACACAGACCCCAACAGAGAGACAGAGAATAAAATATATGCCATATAAACAAATGCAGAGACTACATTTGGTCAAATTTTGTACACACAATTATGAAAACATTATACAGATTGTGAAGAGCAAGGGACGGGAAAATGGGGTGTTTCTAATCAATGGGTATAAAGTGGTTGCTGGGGGTTTGGGGGAGAGAAGGATGAAGATACAGAACACAGAGAATTTCTAGAGCAGTGAAACGACTCTATATGATACCACAATGATGGACACATGTCATTATACACTTGCCCAAACTCATAGAATGTACAACATCAAGAATGAACCCTAATGAAAATGATGAACTTTGGATGCTAATGATGTGCCAAAACAGGCTCATCAACTGTAAAAAATGCACCACTCTGGTAGAGGATATTGATAATGGGTGAGGCTATCTATTCCTGTGTCGAGGCAGGGAGTATATAGGAAATCTCTGTATCTTCAGCTTAATATTGCTGTGAATCCAAAACTGCTCTTAAAAAATGAAGTTTGGGCTTTCCTGGTGGCACAGTGGTTGAGAGTCCGCCTGCCGATGCAGGGGACAGGGGTTCGTGCCCTGGTCTGGGAAGATCCCACATGCCACTGAGCGGCTGGGCCCCTGAGCCGTGGCCGCTGAGCCTGCGCATCCAGAGCCTGTGCTCCGCAACGGGAGAGGCCACAACAGTGAGAGGCCCGTGTACTGCAAAAAAATAAAAAATAAAGTTCATCCCAAAATTTCATACAAAAATAAGATTAGGAATATTTCCCTGATCTGCTTTTTTTAATATTTACAAAAATATACATAAAATATCATTCTCAATGATGAGATATTAAGCCCTCACCTCTTCCTGGATATCATAAATTAAACAATGGCCACTATCACCGCTTCTGTTCAACACTATCCTGGAAATCCTGCCAGTGTGATAATGCAATAAAGAAAATTAAAGTCATGAGAATTGGAAGATAAAACAAATATTAAACCAGGTGGCAAAATTGTATATATAAAAATTACAAATCAATCCACAAATTATTAGCAATGATAAATGAATTTAGAAAGGTTGCTAGATATAAGGTCATCAAAATAAAATCAAATATATTTCCATATAGCAAAAAAGTGGAAAAGGCATTTTTAAAATTATACAATGTAGGGAGTTCCCTGGTGGTCCAGGGGTTGAGACTCCACACTTCCAATGCAAGGGACGTGGGTTCGATCCCTGGTCCAGGAACTAAGATCCCACACGCACCATGGCATGACCAAAAAATAAAAAACAAAAACAAAATAAAATTATACAACATATAATAACATCAGAAATATTATTTATCTGAGAAAAACAGATGTGCAAGCCACTGTACTGCAAACAAAACAGTACTGAAAAATTAAAGAAAGCCCAAATAAATTGTATCTGTGAATTGAAAGATTCAACATGTCAAGATGTCAATTCTTTCCAAATTGATTTAATATCAACCTGATAAAAATCATAGCTGAGTGTTTTGGGTAACTGACAAATGGATACTAAAATTTATCTGGAAATGTAAACTGCTAAGAGTAGACAAAACAATATTAAAGAAGCAGAACAAATATGGGAGACTTAGCCAGATAATCAAGATCTGTCATAAAGATTTATAGCCACAAACTGGAAACAACACAAAACCCATCAGGCTACCCCATGCATGACTTTTGCAATTCTCTCATCTTAAGGACTGCAACCATACTGTGAACATGGGAACTTCAAGAGCATTGAGGCCACAGCAGGAGAAACAAATCTGACCCTGGGGATGAAACACTTTCTTAATTTAACATCACGGGTCACTGCATGGGGCAGGTTGGTGGGGATAAGGTCAATGTATCTCTGGATCTCATGTACCACAGCATCCATGTAGGGCATGTGGCTCCTGTCCTGCATGCAGGGACTCTGGTGTCTGCCAATCACACAGTCAATCTCTTTCTGGACTTTAGCTGATAAGACACAAGTGAGACTGATGGAAAAACAGGAAAATACATACCACATTTGCATACCAATTAAGAGTTACATAAAACTCTGTGAAGGTGTTCCAACATCATTATAAACATCAATTACAGGCCCAGAAGGACACCTAGACATACAGAGTGAGTTGCCATAATATAGGTACAAATGACTTTCATACAAGCTAGGCTTTGAGATAAACCTGTGCACACCTATATATTAGCATACAGGATCATTAATACGAATAGAAATTATGAAATGCTTCAAATATAAATATTACTTTTTTTTTGAGGAAGAGCTATTTTAATTTTCTATTAAACATTCTTCCGAAAACATTATTTTACCCCACATCTTACCGAGTTATTAGAAATAACATTAGCATTAGAAAAACTAGGAAGGTAAAAATAGGGAAAACACATCACATGACAAAGTCTAATATGAAATTTACCTTTAAAAAAAAAAGGAATAAAAAGTAGTATTCCTTTAAATTGAATTAAAAAAACTAGGAAGGGGCTTCCCTGGTGGCGCAGTGGTTGAGAGTCCGCCTGCCGATGCAGGGGACACGGGTTCGTGCCCCGGTCCGGGAAGATCCCACATGCCGCGGAGCGGCTGGGCCCATGAGCCGTGGCCGCTGGGCCTGCGCGTCCGGAGCCTGTGCTCCGTAGCAGGAGAGGCCGCAGTGGTGAGAGGCCCGCGTACCGCAAAAAAAAAAAAAACAAAAAACAAAACTAGGAAGGTAAATTAAATGTGGCTTGTTCAACTAAACATATGAAAAGGGAAAATTATAACAAAGGAAGGAGAGTTTTACAAATTTAATTAAATTAATACGAGATTATAATTTGAAAACTGTGCATCTCAAAGCAAAATTTATTTGTTCAATTATTTTTAACAACAGTGTTTTATGATTCTAATACATTGATTTTTTTTCCAAGAAGGAAACTCACTTAAAAATATTTTTGTTTTAAAAAATAGGCCTTTTTCCAGCTATATATTTTTTCTCCCCAGCCTTGATCATATTTCTTTGATTTGGAAGAAAATACTGTTTTGATGGCATGAAATGCAAAACTGTAAAGATTTTTAAAAAAAAAATCCCAGTACAGAATTTTATAAATTATCAGTGGAAAACAGATTAAGGTCATTAAGTGCACAACACTAATTACTGGCCAGCTACTGGTATTCTGCTTCTTCCCTAGTTCTCCCAAGGAAAACTTAAATTGAGTCTTCAGCAGAATAATCCTCAAATATACTTTTATTTTTTTCTTTTTTTTGCGGTACGCGGGCCTCTCCCTGTTGTGGCCTCTCCCATTGCGGAGCACAGGCTCCAGACGCACAGGCTCAGTGGCCATGGCTCACGGGCCCAGCTGCTCCGCGGCATGTGGGATCCTCCCGGACTGGGGCACGAACCCCTGTCCCCTGCATCGGCAGGCGGACTCGCAACCACTGCGCCACCAGGGAAGCCCCTCAAATATACTTTATAGGCAAAATGAGAGCTTTTGTTTACATAGTTTTTGGATTTTGCTATTCCTAATTTTATTCTAAAACTCAATTTTACCCCAAAGCATAATTACCATATTAACTTTGTAATGCACAGTTGTACGCAATTCAGCAAAGCAGTAGTACACCATCAGGTTCTATTCACCCAGAGCTTAGGAAAAACAGGATTGGTCACACCCATTTAAAAACAAATACGCTATTTGCCAATGTGTAGTTTCAATCTAAGTTCTGACAATGAAATATATGGACATATATCTATATATCTCATCTTGATTTTCAAAGTTAAGCAAAGAGAGTTCTTCTCAGCTTAGCTTTGCCTGGCTGAAGCTGAAGATTTTGTAACTTCATAGCCAGACCCATGTTGCCAGTGATTTTCAATTTACCTTGAAAGAAGGCCAACTGAGGATTCATTTTACCAGTCATCAAAGCCAGTAAGTCCGAGTCAGCCACTGTAATTGTGCAGTCGCCCTTCTTATCTGAGTTAGGGAGCACTGATCCTTTGCCATTCTTCACGTCCACCACCCAGGTGGCTTCTTTAGCTCCAGGGCCATCCTTCACCTTGAAGGCAAAAATACCACCGATTTTCTTCACAAACTGCTCCCCTTCCTCTTCAAGCTTCTTCTCAATCTCCTTAAAGACAAGACTTGCCTTAAATCCATCAACTGCAGAGCTGGTTGGAGCAGCCTCAGTTTGATGAGTTCTAAAAGAACCAGCAGCTTCAGGAAAACCCATCTTGTACAGCGTGACCACTACTGCTCCTCCGATGCCTAAATTATGCTGCAGAGCAACCTCTGCACCAGGAACTTGCTTTTTTCCGGCTTCCTAAATACTACATTATTAACTCAAGAAATTACTGTCCTCGCAGAAAGAAAAAACAGGAATCAAGTATTAATTTCATTTTAAAAATCAAATTCTGTAACTGATGTATATGTATGTATGGTTTGTGTGACTGTACATGTGTTGTGTATTTATTTGCAACTTTGAATGCTATCTTCTTTAATCCTCATACTCCTCCCAAAGGTGGCCACTTTGAAACATTCTAGCAGTTTCTTCTGAAATTTAAATTTCATATTTCTAAATAATTACTAGGGCTTCCCTGGTAGTGCAGTGGTTAAAGAATCTGCCTGCCAATGCAGGGGACACAGGTTCGAGCCCTGGTCCGGGAATATCCCACATGCCGTGGAGCAACTAAGCCCGTGCGCCACAACTACTGAGCCTGCACTCTAGAGCCCGCGAGCCACAACTACTGAGCCCGCATGCCTAGAGCCCATGTTCTGCAACAAGAGAAGCCACCGCGATGAGAAGCCCTCGCACCGCAATGAAGAGTAGCCCCCACTCGCCACAATTAGAGAAAGCCTGCACATAGCAATGAAGATTCAATGCAGCCAAAAATAAAAAATAGAAAAATTTATTTTAAAAATTACTACTTTTATTTCCTGATTTATCCATTTTTAGACAATGTATAATGACTTTCTGATAAGTGAGATGAGGGCTTACATCTCAACCACCACCCCATACAAAATAAGTACCCACAAACAGACACAGACACAGACACACACACACACAACTTCCCCTCACTCAATTTTCCACAATATATTTATATCACAATTTTTTATTATATCACTATTCATTGTTTATATCATTATGACTAAGACAACTATGATTATGTTGACTCTTTTGTACATTCTTGGTCTTTTAACATGTATTTCAATTCCTAATTTTTAGATGCCAATTTAGAATTATTGCAAATGCTCAGGCAGATGTTTCAAACTCTTAGTAATTAATTTTCTAATTACTGGGAAGCCTCAATTTATCATTTCTCTTTTGTTCTTGGTGTCTCCTCTCCCAACTGCTTTATCCACCTAGTCCATTTTGAAATAGAAGTTTTCTAAACCTTGTGCCCAGCACCCTCTCTGAAACCTCCATTTTCCTACATGAGATCTCCTGAATCTTCAGGAATAACTCTCATTTGTAATTAATTTATCATCATTTCAATGGGGTTCTGACCCAGAAAAACATAATTTGCTTAAAGATTTTTTTTTAATTTAAAAAAAAATTGTTCATAAAAGTTAAAACTATTGCCCTGAAAGGAAATTCTTACGGCAAACACCATTTTTCTGGACTCAGACTTCTGGAATAATAAAATTGCTTTTTAAGTGTGACATAAGTACAAAAAAAGAAAATTACAGGCCAATATTCCTGATGAACATAGATGCAAAAATTCTCAACACAATGCTAGCAAACTGAATACAAGAGCACATTAGAAGGATCACACACCGGGCTTCCCTGGGGGCGCAGTGGTTAAGAGTCCGCCTGCCAATGCAGGGGACATGGGTTCGAGCCCTGGTCCGGAAAGATCCCACATGCCGCGGAGAAACTAAGCCATATGCCACGACTACTGAGCCTGCGCTCTAGAGCTGGCGAGCCACAGCTGCTGGGCCTGTGAGCCACAACTGCTGAAGCCCACGTGCCTGGAGCCTGTGCTCCGCAGCAAGAGAGGCCGCCGCAGTGAGAGGCCAGTGCACCACAATGAAGAGTAGCCCCTGCTCGCCTCAACTTGAGAGAGCCCGTGCACAGCAGCGAGGACCCAACACAGCCAAAAATAAATAAATAAATAAATAAATTTTTTAAAAAATTAAAAAAAAAAGAAGGATCACACACCATGATTAAGCCGGATTTATCCTTGAGATATATGGGTGGTTCAAAATATGCAAAATAATAAATATGATGTACCACATTAATAGAATAAAGGATAAAAATCATATTGTCATCTTAATAGATGGAGAAAAAACATTGGACAAAATTTAACATCCTTTCATGATAAAAACTCCTCCCAACAAATTATGTATAGAAGGAATGTATCTCAACAAAATAAAGGAATGTATCTCAACGTATATGACAAGCCCAGGGCTAACATACTCAACGGTGAGGGGAGTGACATCAGCATTACAGCAGTGTGAGACACTCCCTTTGTCCCCACCTTCAATCTACAACCGGTTAAACGTCCATAACTCAACAAAGGGAACTCTGCCCAACACATGAGGATGCCAGAGAATTCCACACTTCTCTACATTTAAAGGTGGGTGGATTGGAACACATAGAGGAGGCAGAATGGAGAGAACAGGTGAGGCAATGCCTGAGATCCTGGCACCCAGTCATGGCATCTAAGCCCACAGCCCCAGAGAATCCAGGAGTAGCAAGGGGGCATTGCACACAATTCTGACCTCCCAGTCACAACAGCATCCACAGCCACAGGGAACTGAGAAGTGGCAGCAGGACCTGTGACTCTGTCCCGTCAGCTGTGGAAGCACCTGCAACTCTGGACCCCCACCCTCCCGCCCACAGCAGCAGCACCCATGAACCTGAAAGCCCCTAATGCAGCAGAGGTGACCATAGCTCCAACTGCCCTCCAACTCCCACCCTCCCCCCTCGGCAGTGAAGCCCACAGCCCAGACGACCCTGGACAAGGTGCCTGCCCTTCTGGTGCCCCAGGCGGCAA